AGGCCTTATCTCCAAGGACACCAGAAGTCTGGACAAAGACAGATTGTACTTAAATTTAAGTGGAAAAATACTTTCGGTGACCCTCTAAGTGTCAAACTTGGTTTTCGTACGGTCTAATTCCAAACATTCCAGTCCTAAAAAGCAATTCCATTTTCCAAAATAAATAACCAGTAACAAACAGGAACGGAATTTTTCACTAAGAAGCAGATCATTTCTTCTTAGCTGTCTAATCGGATATAGTATGTTGAACCTGTTCTTTGCTGTTTGACTTCTCAGTCACTCTCTGAACTTGAAACTGAGGTGTCCTTTATTCTCGAACTAATTCCATGAATTCGTGTACTACAGTGTCTAACACTGTTTATCGACGCAGACTCTCCTGATTCACGTAGCATCATCCGGCAAGAAGTTAAGTCAATCAACGAGTTTTGTGGGTTGTTTCGGTGTAACCAGTGAAACTAAAAAAGTAACTCTCATAACATAAAAGTTGACAGTTCAAGATGAAAAACTAAGTAACTGACCTTTCAGCCATGGACGATTTAACAAAATCTATACATCTGTAGTGGCATGCTTCGTTAATTACTTACTTACTTACTTACTTACTTACGCCTGTTACCCCTCGTCGAGGAGCATAGGCCGCTCACCAGCATTCTCCATCCAACTCTGTCCTGAGCCTTCCTTTCCAGTTCTTTCCAGTTGCTATTCATCCTTTTCATATCGGCTTCTATTTCCCGGCGTAGTGTGTTCTTTGGCCTTCCTCTTTTCCGCTTCCCTTCCGGATTCCAAGTTAGGGATTGAGTCGTGATGCACATTGGTGATTTCCTTAATGTATGTCCGATCCACTTCCAACGTCTTTTCCTTATTTCCTCTTCAGCTGGAAGCTGGTTTATCCTCTCCCATAAAACGCTGTTGCTGATAGTATCCGGCTAATGGATGTTGAGTATTTTGCGTAGACAACTGTTTATAAATACTTGTACCTTCCTGATGATGGCCGTAGTAGTTCTCCACGTTTCAGCTCCATACAGAAGGACTGTCTTGACGTTCGTATTAAAGATTCTCACTTCAATATTGGTTGAGAGTTGTTTTGAGTTCCATATGTTCTGCAATTGTAGAAATGCTGCCCTTGCTTTGCCAATCCTTGCCTTTACATCTGCATCCGATCCTCCTTGTTTATCAACGATGCTCCCCAGGTACTTGAATGTTTCCACCTCTTCCAGAGTTTCGCCGTCAAGTGTGATTGGGTCGGTGTTCTCCGTGTTGCATTTGAGAATCTTGCTTTTTCCTTTGTGAATGTGGAGGCCTATCGATGCGGAGGCTGCTGCTACATTTGCTGTCTTCATCTGCATTTGGTCGTGTGTATGAGAGAGGAGGGCTAGGTCATCTGCGAAGTCCAAATCATCTAATTGATTCTGAGAAGTCCATTGTATTCCGTATTTCCCTTCAGATGTCGAATTCGTCATAATCCAATCAATCACTATAAGTAAGAGGAATGGGGAGAGTAGACAGCCTTGTCTGACTCCGGTCCTTACTGGAAATGCATCTGTCAGCTGTCCTCCATGCACCACTTTGCACTGTAATCCATCGTATGAGTTTTGGATAATGTTGACGATCTTCTGAGGAACTCCATAGTGTCGAAGAAGTTTCCACAATGTTCTCCTGTCCACGCTGTCAAACGCCTTCTCATAGTCGATGAAGTTGACGTATGGTGATGAGTTCCACTCAACTGATTGTTCAACGATGATCCGTAGTGTCGCAATCTGGTCTGTGCACGACCGATCCTTACGGAATCCAGCCTGATGATCCCTAAGTTCGGCGTCTACTGCGTCTTTCATCCGATTCAGCAGCACTCTGTTGAAAACTTTTCCTGGTACTGATAACAAACTGATACCTCTGTAGTTCTCACATTGGCTCAGATCTCCTTTCTTTGGTATCTTGATGAGATATCCTTCTTTCCAGTCCGTTGGCACTTGTTCCTCTTCCCAAATCTTTTTGAATAGAAGGTGAAGCATGTTTGCAGTTATTTCAATGTCTGACTTCAGTGCTTCTGCTGGTATATTGTCAGGTCCTGCCGCCTTCCCACTTTTGATTTGTCTGATGGCCATCTTGACTTCTTCGATCGTTGGTGGAGTGACATCTATTGGAAGGTCTGTGTGGGCTGCTTCGATGTTCGGTGGATTCGATGGGGCTGGTCTATTCAGCAGTTCCTCAAAGTATTCTGCCCATCTTTTCCTCCGTTCCTGAATCTCAGTGATTGTCTTTCCTTCTTTGTCTTTGACTGGTCTCTCTGGTTTTCTATATCACCCTACCAATTTCTTCGTTGTATCATATAGTTGTTTCATATTCCCTTCTCTTGCAGCTTTTTCCGCCGCCGTTGCTAGTTCTCCCATGTATTTCTGCTTGTCGGCTTTAATGCTTTTCTTCACTTCTCTGTTTGCTTCTGCGTAGTCTGCTTGTGCTTTGACTTTCTCTGCTCGTGTTCGGCCGTTGTTAATTGCTAGTTTCTTGTTCTCCCTTTCTTGAATTTTGTCCAGGGTTCCCATAGAGATCCATTCCTTGTGATGATGCTTCATAGGACCAAGAACCTCCTGACACGTTGAAGTTAGTGCTTCTTTTATCCCTTTCCAGTTGTCCTCCAAAGCAGTTTCTTGTTCTTTCAGTAGATCCTGTAGAGCTTGGAACCTGTTGTTGAGAGTTATCTTGAATTCATTGAGCTTGTCAGTATCTCGAAGGAAGGCTGCATTGAACCTTTGTAGTGCTGTTTGTCCAGTTGTCCAGTCTTTCTTTAGCTTCAATCTCATCTTGGCCACAACCAGGTGGTGATCTGAAGCTATGTCAGCTCCTCTCCGGGTTCTCACATCTTCCATTGATCTTCGGAATTTTTTGTTGATACAGATGTGATCTATCTGATTCTCTGTGGTGTGGTCCGGTGAGATCCATGTAGCTGTGTGCATGCGTTTGTGTGGGAATATTGTGCCGCCTATAACCAATTTGTTGAAAGCACATAGGTTTGCAAGTCTCTCCCCATTTTCATTTCTCTCTCCTAGTCCATGTCGTCCAATTACATCTTCATATCCTGTGTTATCCACTCCAACTTTAGCATTTAGATCTCCCATAAGGATGGTCAGGTCCTTTCGTGAGCACTTTGCTATAATTGATTGCAGCCTTTCATAGAACTGATCTTTTTCATCGTCGTTGCTATCATTGGTGGGTGCATAACATTGGATAATATTCATTGTGATCCCTTGCTTCTTTGTTCTGAATGATGCTTTGACTATCCTGGGTCCATGAGATTCCCATCCCACAAGTGCATTTCGTGCTTCTTTGGACAGCATTAGAGCAACTCCCTGAATGTGTGGCGCATTTTCCCCTTCGTGACCGGAGTACAGCAGCATCTCTCCTGTACCTAGCCTTTGTTGTCCAGTTTGTGTCCAATGGGTTTCGCTGATTCCGAGTACTGCCAAGTTGTATCTCCTCATTTCCATTGCTATTTGGCTAGTCTTTCCTGTTTCCCACATTGTCCGGACGTTCCATGTACCTATAAAGAGTGTTGCTCTGGTTGTTAGAAGGTGCATCGGTCTCGTGACTTCCGAAGAATTTCGGCTTTCATCATGAGACGTCATTATTCCTTCAACTCCCAGAGCAGAGTTTAAATGGTTTGAATTATTTTTTCTGGTTAGCGTTTTTTTAGCGAGTTAGCTTTTCTACGGGATGGGGTCGCTAACCCCATGCCCAACCCTCCTCCTTTACCCGGGCTTGGGACCGGCAGTAACTCTAGAAGAGCTACAGGCTTCGTTAATTGATCACCGTTATTATACCAATCTTAACAGTGTATAGAGTCAGAAGACAAAGGGAAGCGGCAACTACATTTTTATTGACAAGTAACGTAGACCAGAAATCTGTGAGCACATGAACAAATGTTAGCGAGAGAAACATTCATGACACGTATTGGAGATGACTGGTAAGCCAACTCGCTATAAGCAAGCATTATTCAATATTTATAGTCAGACAAAAATGAATGACACATATAATGAATAAGATACGAAGTGTGCATTCACATACGCTCATATAAAAAATTATCAAGGTTAATAAGCGAATGATTAACAAAATCAAAATATGACTCATAATGTATAGATGAATTGACGTGTCCAGAAACTAGAATATGCTATGTTGGTGTAATTTAGTACACGACGTTACACTAATCCCCACACATCCATCAAAACTATAATTAAAAGTTTATGGTTAAATACTACAAAAATGGCATAGGATAACAAAACTACGCTCGTCTTCCTTTTTCTCTCCGTCAGCAAAAATCTTTTCCTGTCACCAAGAAGGGCATTCAAACAAAGGAGTGAACTTACAACAAAGTCCGAGACGTTCTTAGTTTAACGACTGTCGACCTAAGCAAATAATCGAGAGGAATAAAAGTAGAGCCATGAGGAAATAAAGAATACAATCGTGTTAATTTTCGCGAATGGTCTACTTACCGCGAACTCATATGCATTATCGTATTGTTGAAGAAAGGTAGACTACATGGCTTGAATTTACGGAAAAATGAGACTATTCACTCTTGATTTCAAGACGTTTTTACCTGATGGTGAAATATAGGGGAACATTTTCACTTTCGCCTAGGATAAGAGGAAAATTTAGCAACAAGAATTATCCGTGTCTTTATTGACACCCACATTTCCGAGGAAACTTCACCTAAATTCCCTAATAATTCTTCATTTATTTTCCTATGTTTGTTTGTTCAGGAACATTGGATACCCGAATCACATATATGAAAAAACAGTAGCAATTTCTTTACTGAGGCAACTGCTAAACGATATTAAGTTCAACTTCGAAATTTAGCTTTGGTATTTTCTAACACACGTCATAGTCATAGAGAAATCACATGCCAAACAAGTTTGCATATATCACACCTACAGAGCATAAGATGGAGGCAACCAAATAAATAAGCTACAATGAATTTTTGTTGTGAAAGCAGTAAAAAAGAACAGACTATTTTATGTTTCCTCCATTTATTAATTGTTTTTTGAATAACCTTAATGTTAGCCAACCTTGGGGTAGCGGCTTTTCCAAAGTTGTTGCACAGTCAGTGTGAGTCGGTAAAATGCCCCTGGAACGCCTAGAAGATGAGGGTCTTGAGAAGATTCCTAACCTTAAGCTAGCACAATGGGCCTTTCGTGCTGGATTAGAGAAAACACCTGAACCTTTGCGTAAGCAGCTTCTGCAGAAAATTACCAAGTGTATCCAAGATGATAGTAAGTTTTTATCCTATATTTTTGACAAGTTCCTTCAAATCCATAACACAAACGACCTATGCTTGTCATTTGTTGCTGAACTTACAGGTTAACCTGATCGTCTCAATCCCAAGTCTGGTAGCTCTTAGTTGAGTGTAGTTGATTTACGTATAGATTACGGCCAAAATTGGTAGCAGTCTTCAGACTGAAAACATTCCAATTTGACAAATATAAAATAGTGAATATAAGTCTATTTATCCTGAAAGCTATCTCATTACTACATGAATATTGCTAAGCGTTTTATCAGTGTAATGTAAAACGAGCTTCTCAGTAGTTCACGTTTTTTACCATGCTTTTCAGTATTCATTGTCCCTCAGTTCTTTTTTAGGTTATGTTAAATATCTAACTCGTCCTAAACAACCAACTTTGTGTGCATACCTAAATTATCTGTTACACCATATCAAAAAAATACTCACCGAAAATTCTTCCCACTTTAATTTACCAATAGTTCCAAATATTCAGTCGACAACTTTAAACAATCACTGTTAAGATGTGATTATAGTGTCACGAGTAACATAAATCCCGGAACATATGTGTATTGTCCTAAGTCTACATGCTACAATACCTGAGGTGTGAGTAGGTTGGAAGTGAACCAAGACATGGCATTCAGTCAGTCAGCTACAACATAGGACCAGGCACATATATGCATCGGTCCAAGTTGCCATACCTCGTTAGCACAACAAGATGAACACTGGATTCATAGAAGTAATTAATTTAGTGGTGGTGGTAGTAGTATATAAATTATAGGTTGTATATAAGGATATTTTAGTCTCAAGGTTTAAGGGAAGATAAAGAGTGTATACACCTACGATCGATTGTGAGCCATGTCACCTAGAGTCTCCAACCATTGGTTACCATGGTCACGCGGACCCCAACCAGGTAGTCTGCATCTGCCAACATGGCTCAGACTAAAAGTTAGTGACTTCAAACACTGATGTCATGTTTTGGTTTGGCCTCCCCTAACTCTCTTCCAACAATCCCCAGTACTAGTCATCATAGCGCGTCGTGGTAATCGGTGTTCAGGCATACGTAACACGTGCCCCAACAATCTCAGTCGATGAAGATTCATGACCTCATCAACTGATTTACCATCGTTACCTAATACCCTGCGTCTAACCTTACTATTACTTACCCGGTTATCCCAGCAGATGCGAGCAATATTTCTAAGGCATCTGTGGTCAAATAATAGTAACCTACGAGTATCTTCTACTCTTAATGGCCATGTTTCACAGCCACAAAGTAGAACAGAGCGAACTGCTGCGCAGTATACTCGTCCTTTAATTGATAGACGGATATCTCGTCTCCGCCATAGGTGACGTAAGTTGGCAAAAGCCAAACGAGTTTTTCGAATCCGTGCTGAGATTTCGTCAGACACCAACCCATTAGGGCTGATCAGACTTCCAAGATAAGTAAAGTTATCGACGCGTTCGACTACTTCGCTCCCTATCCTTAGTTCGGGTGTTGACGCAGGCCAGTCCTGGAGTAACAATTTACATTTGGATGGGGAGAAACGCATCCCAAACATCCTGGCATTATTACTGAGTTCCAACAGAAGACTCTGCATTTTGTCAGTGTCTTCACCAAACAGGACTATGTCATCTGCGTATTCTAAGTCGCTTAGTGGTCCCCTTGGTAGGAGATCAATTCCTGTAAATTCAGTCGAAGAGAGTGTTATTTCCAGCATCAGGTCTATAATGAAGTTAAACAAAAATGGGGATAGTGGACAGCCTTGTCGGACACCACTTGAGGTTGTAAAATCATATGACAGTTCGCCATAAGCTCTCACTTGACTGGTAGTGTTCGAGTAAAGAACCTTCACAAGGTTTATGTACTTCTCAGGTACACCTTTCAATGACAGACACTGCCACAGAACCTCTCGGCCTACAGAGTCAAATGCTGCTTTCAAGTCAAGAAAAACTATCATTGTCGGACGCCGATAAGCGTTTCTATGCTTTAAAACTTGACGAATGATGAATATATGGTCGATACAGCATTAGCCCACTAAGTTATCGTTGGTCTGAGCCGTATATATATATATATATATATATATATATATATATATATACTTCCTGGCTGGATTCTGTGCGACGGTCGTAATCAAAGTTTCAGGACATTAGGTACCATTATTCACGATCGGTCACAATGACCCAGATGCATTCAATCGTTGTCTTGGGATTCCTGAGTATTCGTTCCAGACCTGTGACTTATGAACAAACCGATTATGTGTAAGGTAGCAAATTTCGGATTTTCAGGCAAAACCCACTCATCCATATGGTTAAATAACATTCTAGTATTATAGTTGATGTCAGTATGATGAAAACGCTAACTAATTTGTAAACCTATGTTCTAAGTCTTTGTCCTAATCCTCACACTAACTCATTGCCATGTTTCAACTCTATCAAGTAGTTAGTTGCTCAAAGTCACCGTATCGCCCAAAGGTCTTCCACAAAATATTGTCTCTCTGTATTCCTTCATTCATGCATTTTCATACCTTCTTCGTGAACTATATTCTTAGTATTCAGTCTTTTTAACTATCTTTACTACTACGATTGTCTAGACTCTTTCTGTTCATCATGGTAATATAGCCTCTTCATATTGATTATGCATTGCAAATTGGACTTATACATTTTTTACCAGATCCTACACTGACGGACTAGTAAGACTGAGAAATATGATCTAAACTCACTGGTCCTTAAAGTTGTCTAGGGCTTACGAAAGCTAATTCTTATATAAACTGACAAATTGACAGCCATCTTCTCACTTTTGTAGCACACCAATAGTCTTTCCTTCCTATTCCACACATTCCTTCAGTCACATAAATGTCGTTACAAAAGTGTGTTAACATCTTATCTCATTTTTCTTTCCTTCCGTTCGTCTTATTGTTAGCTACAGTATCTGGTGATATTATGCTCCACTTCTTAGTCGAAAATATCTTATACTACGATGAAGTCAGTAGATTTCGCAGTTTGCACCAAGTCTATACACTTACGAAAACTAGGTTGTAAGGTATGTTGTTTGGTCTCTGATCATTGATCTATTATATCCAAACTTAATTCATATTCAGTTTATGGAATAAACCTTTGTCTGTATCTAATATATCATTGCTTTCCAGTGTCTGTGGTTCATGACTAAATTTCTGGACTTACGCGTTCAATTTAGGGAATTTATTGGTGGAACTAATGGACATAATAACCCGGAGTTCAATAATGTTTTCCAGGGATAGTTTTTGTACTTTACTTAACTCAGCACCATTCAGTCACTTCACACTTTAGTTAATAAGTTTCTGCTTGTCTAACGTCCAGTGTCTGAGATTATTGTCTTTCCTTTTCAGATATGGCTCCATATTACGAACTTGTATGTAAAGAGCTTAATCTACCAGTTGACCAACGAATCTTGAAATCTATGCAGTCAGTAAATGAAGCAAAAATTAAGGAGTTAGATGCAAAGATTAAGGATGCGGAAGAGAATCTAGGTGATACAGAAATCAGAACCGCCATGATGGAAAAAGCTCACTATCTTAGTAAGATTGGTGACAAGGTAATGAGTTATTTAAGTAAACTAATGTAACATGTGTCACCCAGGAAGGTTCTCTGTCCCAATTTCGACTGATTCTAGATAAAAGCTTAATGCCAGGCTTTCGATTAGACACAATTTTCCATATCATACGAATTGGATTCTTTTTTGGAGATAGGGATTTGATCACAAAGAATATAGAAAAAGCGAACAGGTATGATTTTTTTCCTCACAATTCTTAGAATGTTAATGATAGCCTAATTGAAGAAGGTGGAGATTGGGATAGACGAAATCGACTTAAAGTTTACCGTGGTTTATATAGTATGTCAGTTCGAGATTTTGATGCTGCTGCTAAGAATTTCCTTGATGCAGTCGCCACATTTACTAGTTATGAGTTAATGGATTATAAAACATTTATCATATATACAGTTATGTCTGCGATGATTGCACTTAAACGCCCGGATCTTCGGGAAAAGGTAAATTTGTCTTACACTTGTTCGCTTTCGCCTACCTCTATTTGATCAGTGGTTTTATGAGGTTTTACAAATGAACATTTTTATCCCTTTGTTGGCTATTTTGTGTACTATAAATATTAGTGTGTTATAGAAAGTTTGTACTTCTAGAGTATGAGGTGAATTTATGTATCCTGTCATGTACAGGTTAGAATCCGTTACAACCGGTGATGAGATTCTAATAGTTCTTGACATCATAATACTTTAGTCTGAGTTTCATGATATTTTGACATAAATGATATTCCTCAGTGTAACTCCATTCTATCACAAAGTTTTATGTGGTAACTATTGTACAGCCAAATTCTGTAATAAAATTATTTACACTGTAGCTGGCTACAACTTACCTTATAGGCGACGTCGATGTAAAACACTATGACATTTTGAATTTATGTGATTGTCAATCATAATTTCCTCTACTTATTGACTATCTTCATATCTTGTCTACAGCTGTGACAAATGATTAGCTTTTCACTATAAGCTAACATACATCATAGTTTCGAACCATATCACTTAGTTATCCTGACTGTTACTGACCTATAGGACAGATATTTAGATTTATTGATCACTGATTAGTAACCATTGTCATATTTGTCTAGCCCCTTAATGGTAATCGAATTCTATCTATGAAATCACAACATCCTTACTAGTACAAGTGGTTCAGTATTGTGTGCGCGAAACTTAGACCTAGGGTTTCCTGCTGACTCCTAATTGTCTATTGCGCACATCATGTTGAGTCACTTGGACTAGTAGTCAGATTGCCACCTAATCGATAGAATTCGGTCAGCATTGAGGAATTATCTAGTACGACATTAGTTTCCATTCAGTGTTCATGCCTAGAGTTATATTTATAGTTCACTAACTTCATATATATATGCTTTTAGGTTGTTCGTGGATCGGAAATTCAAGAAGTTCTGCATGGATTACCTACTGTACGTGAATATCTCATGTCTTTATTTGATTGTCGTTATGCTGACTTCTTCCTTTCACTTGGTTAGTTAGTCTATGTTATTTACCATACTTTTTAAATTTCTAGCGAATAAAAACAATTAACAACCTGAGTGTTCTGTAGTAAACTTTTGAAGTTGATTAATTTATTTTTGATAGTGTTTTAGAGGGCTATCAGTTCAGCGTATCAGTAACATTTTTAAACATTCCTTTACCTGTTATCACGATAAGAGCTTTTGCACTTATTTTAAGTCTAACTAGTTAGCTTGTGTTGCCTTTTAATGTTAAATAATTATCATTATATCCTGGGATCTTGTCAACACTTTACCTCTAAAGCTGTAATCGAATTTAGAGTTCAGTTACAATAGAACTCTGGAAACGGCTTTGATAGTACATGCCTGGTGATCTATTAGAAGTAGTTGAGTTCATCCATCTCAGTAGTTATGTGAGTGCTGCTCGTGATGTGACTTATGAGACTGATCTACGTATAGTGAAAGCGATAATAGCTTGTACCAATATAGATCATCTTTGGCTGTAAGAGGTTAGGTTTACAACACGTTGGGCGAACATTTGTGATCTATGTTCTCTGTATTCGGTCATTGTTGTTTATGAAGAATTGCTGACATCTAGTAGTAACACTATGTCAGTAATGTTTAGGTCCGCTAATTTGTGTTCGGGCGTAGTGATGGTTATTTATTTAGTGTCATAGTCTTGAAAAGATGTTGTCTATTGGCTGAACATGTGTTACAAATGTCATCCCAGTGACTTCCACACTGTGCATTATTTGGCAACTCTGGTACTGAGTGGAAAAAGCTGAGGTGATTATATGAGGAGAATGAACAATTGTAGTCCTAAACACCAATTGGATGACTCAAACAACCAATAGAAAAGTGAAAGGTGGTTAGTTTATAATTTAGTAATCTGCTATGAAAGAAAGCTGTATAAAACTGACACCTGTCTGTCCATCACGACTCTAGCTGGAGTGCTGGTGACGACGCAACACAGGGCTTAAAACTTTATCGAACAACACATAATAGAAGCCAGTAGTGGTCCTGTTGTAATTTTCTTCTACTTCATAAAAGTGAAACTTCGTTAGCCGAAAGGATTCTACTTTCTGTTTCTTATTGAACTATTCTATTATATACCCATCCATTTCTATTTATTCATCAGTCCTTTGTTTATACTCATCACTCCAATTCTCCCTCTATTCCTTCACAATCTTATTTCGTTATTTGTGTGAAGCATTTTTATTTTAGTATTAATCTGTACAAGTATTTATTTACAACTTTATCAAGCATAGAGGTTTATTTAGTTTAATTATAAGGCAGTTCCCAATGTTATACTACCGGATTATCTAAATCGAATGAAATTCCCCAACTAAAAAACCCCAAAATATAATCACTTAAAAATATCAGTCCGTGTCTCTATAGTCTAATTCGGTTCACTATCAGTAGATCGTAGATTCAAACCATAGTTCATTTATTTTGGTCTGAGCAAACGTATAATATCTATTGTGGCATGTGTTGTCCGATCTCGATGCTGATACCCGATCGTCCTATACACGAACCTAACCGGTTACATAAATGTAAAAGCTTTTATTGGCTGACTAAATTGACATTTGTGTCTATCCTTTTCACATACCTATATGTATATATGTCTCTTGGAAAATCAAGGCATCAGTGATGTATGTTTCATTGCTTAGAGACTCAAGGCGTTTCTCGGAAAATTGCATGTACTTATCGTTTGACTGATTTCAGATTGGCCTAATCCATCAGTATCTAACCAGCCTTTATATAAGCTTGGTTCATGGTCAAGTATGTACAATCTATTCCATTAGGTGTAAAATCTGATCACTAATCTACTTACTTAATTATAACTTTCTTATTGTTCATTTACCCTTCAATGTATTTTCTCACTACCTTATTCCTTTTTCTCTCTTAGCTGGAGTTGAACAGTTCATGAGCTGTGATCGTTATTTGCACTTACATACATGTTATTATGTTCGTGAAATGCGTATTCATGCATTAAGTCAACATTTAGATTCATACAGTAGTTTAAGCTTAGATAGTATGGCCGCATCGTTTGGTGTAACTCCAGCATTTTTGGATGCTGAATTATCACGTTTCATAGCCAATGGTCGATTAGCTTGTAAAATGGATAAAGTTTCAGGTATTATTGAAACAACACGTCCAGATAATGTGAATTTTCAATATCAGGTAAATTCATATCAGTGTATAATTTTTTTTACTCTTTTATTGACTAATAAGTTCATTATGGTTTTATTATATCGTCTCAATTGGTTGACGAATTTAGCGGAATTGATAAAGTCACTAAACTAATCATTTTTTCTACAGATATCTGAACCATGAATCCTCAACGAATGAATTTCGGAAGTTAGAACTACTAGCTGACTGATTAAATTAATAGTTTATATCACAAACTAGCCTTAGTTAAGCAACCATTGTAAACCAGGAAGCAACGAACAGTTGTTTCGTCCTATCATGAAACTCCAAAATAGTGCCCAACCACGATCTCCCGGGTGATCAAGTCTACGACTTTCAGGCTTTGTGGAGAACGCTTAGGTTTTAGACCTCCAGGTCAATATCCAATAGTTCATATTTCGGACTTCAATCAACTAATGATATCGCACAACTATCCTTTAATGATATTAATTAGTAGCTGCTTCACACTCGACATGAAGTTGTTTTTAGGTGGGGGTGAGCCATCTGCTAGTTTCCTTAGTTGTGCTTTTGTAGCCCGTTGATCTGACTCCGATTTGGACGAATTAATGTGCTATTAACATAAATCTTCCGTTTAATTCTGTATATTATATCTAGGTTAAATCCGTTTGTGCAACGGTGGTAGCAAGAAGCCGAATATTGATTAAGTTGGACGAGTTTATTTCAGACATTTGTTTACTCAGACAGACATTAGAATGAGCAGTGATAAAGCTAGGCGAAGCGGAGAAGGCAAATATGCCAACTCCATCTGACAAGGCGTGATCCAGCAATTATAGCCAGGCAAAAATAAGCTAAAGATATGTAATGAATGGGGTAAGCGATACACACGTATGCTCATGCAAAAATAGTCAAGGTATAAGCCGACGATTGACAAGATCAAAATACGTGTGTGGATAATGACTTGAAAAGGGTAAATTAATTGGTCTGTTTGAAAGCTAGAATAATTCATATAGGTGTGACGTAATACTAGACACTACGCCTAGTTAATCAGGGCCGACCTAAACCGTGAGTTTTCTCGCGTTCACTGCAAAAGATAAATTTACTGAGCTTTTATAAGTAAAATCTACTTCATTTTCATCGAAAACTCTTAGCAGTTGTAGCAAAGTGATAGTGTGAACTATGGAGCTGGTTTTTCAGCCCTGTCGCTAACGTGTAACCGCAACCTCATATGATCCATAATCGTGTTATATTCCATATATATGTATCTGTTTTCAGTCCATTGGTTCGGATATTTCAGTTACAGACCAAGCTAAGATTGGACCACACCAATAATTTCCTGTTTTTAAACTCTTAGAAACAAATACATTTGTTGAGTGTGTTAAATTAATCCACTTAATATAAGAATGTAGTACGCGTGATGTCTAATTACTTGAAAAAGTGGCCGTATTGCGACTTCACTGATAGAATTCACTTGTCACTGAAGACCAAATAAACTAGATTAATCGAAGGGTTATGTTCATGTGACAAGATTTAGTTGTAAATTTAAGTGTCCATGTTTTCGTTCCAACTACTTTGATTTAAGTATTATCGGTTACTAGTGCCACTAATCTTCGTATAAGGTATGGCTAAGAGCTTAGTACATAAACTTGTACTTGACAAATAAATGTTATTGCTATCATTATTGTTTTCATCGTAATGTCATAACCAAGAACCGGACAACTTAAAAGTCATATGTGTGACGTTTCTTTTGTTAATTGTAACAGACCGCTGAATTTTTAAACAATAGCAAAAATTAAAGTTGAGTACATATTTTGCAGCCATATTCCCCGGATGATAAACTGAAAAACGTGTAAAATAATTCTATTTTCATCATCATAAGAATAGGAAATCAATAATAATCAATAAATAATGGTATCAGTCGTTTTAAAGAAAATAAGATATGTTTCTGCTGTCAGTCATCAGTGTCAACCAAAACACCTTGTACCAACCTACATGATCCAGACCCATTGTTAAATGAATTGACAGTATAAAGGCTCGTGGAGATTATTGAATGTTATTATGATCACTTATTGACCTGATTTAGATAGCCATTAAAAACCCGGATGCACTGGATAGCTGTTACGCCCTTAGTACTGAACTTCTCAGTAGTGAGCATCCACGGCCCTACCACGGGTGATCGAACTCAGGGCCTTCAATCTCTCACGAGCGCCAAATATCTAGTCCGCTGAACTGAAATTCAATGGTAGTTATGATCCCACTGTCCAGTATTACACCTTATAATCTGACTACTTCAAACCTTTCAATATACTTCTATCTTAACTGACAATGAAAATCCGGTGACTACATAACATTATAGACTGTCAATATCACGTGTTATATATGTAAAAATACATGTCATCATCTTTAGTCCCTTCATTAATTCTATTCTCATTTCTACTTTTTAGACTATGATTAAACAAGGCGATATTCTACTGAACCGAATTCAAAAACTGAGTCAAGTTATCAATATATAGTGAAATACTAATATATATACTGCCCATTGTTATCTAACATACGATGGTAATACAATCATGGAGTTTTGTATACAGTAACTGTACTTTACAAAATACTGTTTTCTTTTCTATTCACTGTTTCTTTGTGTGTGTGTGTGCACACACATGTGGATGAGAAATTGTTTTCGTAAAACGTAACTTTAGTGTCATACTTTCTAGCCGACTTTTCACGCCGGTAGATACTATTATAATGGTTAGTATAAAGTCCACATATAATCTATTATTGTGCTTTCATAGTTGTATTTTAAGAACTCTGATTTGTTATGACTTGCGATTTAAATCGATATTGCCTGCTATATTGCTAGTAAAACCAGTGACCTATTCTAATAGCTGAGATCTTGATGCTTATTGGTTCTCAAGCCCCTTAATAACCAAGTAGCCGAGTAGAAGACACTAATAGGAAGCAGACTAGTTCTCTATTTTACTCAATTTAATCATGACTTAAAACTCATATGATAAGTGGTAAAAGACGGAGCTAACAATACATAATTACTTAGTAATAACTAAGGTATGGTAAAGCATATAGCGACAGTTAATAGGTTCACTAAAAGCATACAATAAGGGAAGTATAGTAACTCACTGATATAGTTACCTACTCATTATACAAGAAAAATATAAATAATAATCCGGAAAATAACCGCGGGAGTTTGACTTTTTCAAATATTCATTCCGTTATAATATTCATCATATACATATATTCTTGTTTACTGAAGGACATTTTACATGGTATTCAAAACCAACATTTCAATATCAATCTTGAAGCGGTCACTTTGACTCAGTTAAAAAATAAACTGTGTTGTGAATTTATGTCCGGCTTTTTATTACGTGATTTATTCACCAATCGAAATACGACTTATCCAATCTTAGCACTGCCGACCGGTATGAACAGCAGCCTAGCGTCCTTAATGGTCCTTCGTCCGCCTAGCCCTTCCAGTTGAGTCTAGAACACCAATAACAGCTTCCACTGTTTGAATCATTTATTTCATACCTACTGGGTTTATATATCAACCAAACAAACCACAACGCACCATAAAATAGGAGACAGTGATTAAGAAACTGAATATAATTTAGGAACAGTAAATCGTATAATAATAATAATCTATAGGTCAAAATGAAGCTTATTATAAGATGAATATAGATACGTACAATCTAATCACTAAATATATATAGAGTAATAGTCCATTAATAGATCACGGAAGATACCCGTATCTATGTCTTCACTAGGATATAACAAACTGTACTAATGGTATTGAATTCAATATAGATGACTAATCAGAACTAAGATAGGGGTTGCTGATTTAAATTGTGATCTTCAAAATACAACTACGAATAGTCTCTTGTTGGAATCCATATTTTTGACTAGATTTTTGCTTATCTAAATGACATGATCAATGATCACTTACAGTACTTTAGGTCATGGATAAATTGCATCTTATGTAACTGTTGGCAATAAATGACACAGAATTCTATCATCTACTAAAACGATAATATACATATGTATGATCTTCTAGACGCATGCTTAAGGAGTGCTTAAAACATAGTTACTTAGCAATTAATAGGTTGCAGGTTGAAATAGTAATTTGGTGTTAACAGCTTGAGATCAGTATATAACCAGCCTAAATCCAATAATTTAGTAAGCTGCATCAATTTAGACATTGTTGTTATTATAAAGGAACGAATTTTGTAGAGGTTGAAACCGATTTCTTGAAATATCAATGATAATTTTGTCGTGTAATCACTGAGTAGCTAGATTACTATGTCTATGTATTCCACCTATCATTAAGTTTCGGCTGTTTTAACGATTTTCATACGACTTACTTTCCATAACTTTTGTCAGTCGATTTCTCAAAGTCTCTCCCATGCACAGCCACTTTCCGGCTTTTTCACGTATAATTTTTATTGTTCAATTTATGATGCGATGCGGTCTTGTATGTCCGTATATAAATCACATCTGTTTAAAATATAACTATGTTGGGAACTAGTTAGTACTTATGGGCATATAGTAGGGCATGGATAGAAGCTCGTGAATAACGGAACAATAAAAGCTTATCTGTCGGCTCAGGGTTAGCAGTGCCAATCAGACATGTGATTGGTTGGTTTGACGACAGTAGGCTGTCGAGGAAATAGGCCAAATTAGGATTCAGATTGGTGACTGGGTGATAAGTCTTCTAACTGAACGTTAGGTCCAGTTCCTAAGCTCTTCTATTAACTACCAGACTAAATCTACACAGCAACTTGAACACAAGAGAAAAGACGCAAAATACGGAAGAAAACAATTTAATCCTATCTTCGTTTATGCACAGAAAATCTAAGGTTTTCACGGTATTTCGGATGGCCTTCTGTCTCTGGAATGCTACTAAACTTGGTAGCAGTACATATAATCATGCAATCAGAAACTCGACATGTGACTTTCCACTTTCTAGATGTTTCTGGCAAAACTTCTAGTGAACGCTGATCAGATATAGGGTTTTCTCAACGTTTTCAGAGCCTTTTTTAGGAGTTTTCTGGTCCCGACACTGGTCATGTGACATTAGATCCCGAAGATATAACAACTAAATGGGATCACAATAAATTGTCCCCGCCAACACCTGTAAACACGCAGATCAAGGAAACATTGATGAATGTGCTTTCAATGCTTTTTCTGAGTTATTTCTCAACTATAAAATTATAACAAATGATGTGATGGAAAATAGATCCCGACCATATATATGTATGCATCCAGAACATCGCAAATGAAAATCTCAGAGATTAGGAATTCAGTGCGGCCTTGCCCACGTCAAACTTTTAGAGCATTTTCGAGGGAATTATCAATTATTAAATTCCTCTAAAGATTGATTAACAAAATATTTTGCATCACTAAACAAACTTTATTCTTGTAAATTAGACTAACTTTAATAAGTCTACGTAATTTTTCATTTTGATATACTCCTGTTGACTAGTAATCCCTGTTAGTAGTCTAGAGGTGTACACTAATTGTCGGATAGTTACTTAACCTACTCGTGAGTAGTATAAGTTGTTTAGACTAAATCTACTGATCTGATTCTTTACAGAAAGTTTCAAACTACAAATTATGTTCATTAAGCAATGATGAACAACTTTGATAGGTCATTTCTAACCTAATTACCGTGGACTACATATGTAAATATGATGTTTTCTGTAGACTTACATCACGGATTGTTCTTAGTTAGACAATTAAACTATTAGAAATCAGGAAGCATCGGATTGATCTTCCTTTTTAGGATAGAACTTACTATTAGTCCACACCCAGAACCTTCTCACTTTGTGACCAGCGCTTTACCTTTAGACCACTCGACTGGCATCCAGTGATTAAGATGTGAAAAGTAAGTCTACTCACGATGCATCCAGTTATAATGATGATGCAAAATATTTTGATGGAATATTAATCGAACGTAATCACGATACATCACAAATATGTATGTATGATAATCGAATTATGTGTTCCTTGTGTAGTTGTACATTTTTGGTTTTAAAATGAAAAACAATTGTTTGAGTAGCAAAAGATTTTTTCTTCTTATTCTAAATATAAGTTGAACTTCACCATACAAAATACTTTGAGAGTGTTTTGCGTTGGTATGGTAACATTACGGGTTATCGTGATATTATGTATAGAAGGAGGATAAAATAGGAACGATACATATCCTTTTCTCTCGGAAAATCAAGTGCTAAGTCAATTTTTTATGGTCTCAGACATTTAAAGATTTCAATGAAAAAAGCAATAAGGATCTTCGTATTAAATTTGGCATGAAAAAATGACTAGAACTTTGCTTCTTCGAGAAAGCAATCAGATTTGAGATAGAGTCTTTTGTATTTATTGTAATATGCAAAATTTGATAATGGATAACTGGTTACTTGCTAAGAGGTAAATAATACCCAACAGTATTTGATCGAAACCCCACTTAAACATGATAAAGATGGTGAGATTAATGAATAGGAAAAAAATTGATTGATAATGAAAGTAACTTCAATGTTGATGATAAAAGTAATGGAAAATAACTTCCAATCAAAATGTATATAAGATTTAGATATCATTTACGAACTTCCAAATGCAATGTGAACGTTCTAGTTATTGTAAATCAAAGGACTGTGTTCATTCCATTGGTTAAAAAGAGTTTTTCCTTCTTAACACCAATCTTAACGTCAAATTTCTATTTTTATTTAGGATTGCAATTGATCAGTCTCTTATTGGCCATATGTGCAGACTGTCTCGATATTACCTGAAGTTACAAGCATTATAAGCAAAGATGGATAGTGGCTAGCAGTGGAATCCAGAACGCTCGTTTCGTCTTATTTGGGACTCATCAGCTGGATGTACCTTCATCTCAGATTTGATGTTGACTCTGGGACTCGAACCCAGTGCCGTTCGCTTCAAACGCCATAGCGTCATCTACTTAGCTACTGAGTCCTGATAGCCACCTGCTTGTGCAATGGGATGAAGTTTAAATTCACATGGTGCTGTTTACTTGTATCTTCCCATTGCTATTTACGACTGTAATTGATCAGTCTCTTGTTGGCATATATGAATCCTATGCGTATTGCCTCGATATTACCTGAAGTTACAAGCTTTATAAACAAAGATCTTTACCAATCCTAATGGTTTTTAGTTTTCTACAATGAATGGTTCATAATATGTCTGTATTTGTAGTTAACTATGAACTGTGTAACCTTTTGCAGGGTCACTTTTAGAGGTCACCAGTATACCATAGTTCCAATAAAAATGTGAAAATAATCATATTGTCATTAGGGAAATTGGTTGTAGTTGTGACCTACCTATATATATGTGTGTGTATATGTGTCATTGTAAAATGCTACTCAATTATATATAATTACTAAAATCTACACGAACCCCCCCCTTCTAAAAGTACTATTCAAGTTTAATTTATGCAAATCTAATTATTAAACAGTATAAATAGAATACATAAAATCCCATATATTTATTCAGACATGTTTCTAGACCGAACTGAATCAATTTTATGTTCCAGTCTATATATAATAATAAACTAAAGCAATTTACTAATAAATTCTAAACAGAAAAGTAAATCAGAAAGGGTTTTGAAAGCGTGAATCAATTGAAGCTAGATCACCATGGAAACACTGGATGGCCGTTTCGTCCTATTGTAAGTGCTCTGGCGCGAGACTGGTAAATGCTGGATTTGAATCTTGTTAGGCGAGGTCGTGTATGAGCACTACTGAGGAGTCTCACAATAGGACAAAACAGTCGTCCAGTGCTTTCAGGTTTTTTCTGGTGGTCTAGTTTCAATTGACTCACGCTTTCAACTAGAAAAGTAAATATAATTTATTGATTTGTCTCAGTACTTTTTTATGTTAACATAATAAACCCATCTAGATCTAATCTCTCTGCTATCATCCATTATTAGTTAGTTGTATCTTTTACTTTAGTGAGAGAGAATCGTTAGGCATATTGAAACAAATATCTTTTTTGTAACTGTAACATAATAGTTATTAATTGTGCATTAGATAGTAGTCATGACAACAACTGACTGGATAAGTTTTTTGTTACATACAACTTGGGAAATAATAGATTAAAAGTGTAATATAAAGGTGTATAATGACAGAAAGATTTAGCTACATTGTTTGTTTATTGTTCTGTAATTATCATAATTATTAAACATATTGTATGGCCAGTGAAATGTCACTGAACCCTAGCCAAATCATCCGGCAGTTCGGTCACTAAATATCGAACAGATCATCGACAATCAATGCGCATCAGTTATTCATACGCCATGGACTAGCCCATGTGGCAGTGGTTCTACTTTCGCTTGTATCTACTTTAAC